AGGGGATCGAACCCGCGACCTTCGCGTTATTAGCACGACGCTCTAACCTACTGAGCTAATGGGCCAACTTAATAACACATTTTAATTTAAAAGTTTTTTCTTTCAATATATTATTTTTCAAAAAATTTAATTTATTTTAAATATATATAATTATATAAATTAATAATTCTTCTTTATAATTTAAATACTTTTTTTCAAATTCATATTATTATATATAATAATTTTTATTTTTCTTATAATATAATTTTTTTAATAATTAAATATTTTGTTTATTGCAATGATATAAGCCATCTTATGAGAAACAATAATAAAATGTTTGAACTTTATAGTTTAAACTATATTCATAGAGTTTAAAGTTATAGACAAAGAAAAAAAGCCAATTGGAGTTAATATTAATATTATGATATACATCCATAGATATGTTAACAAGAGCACTTTGTCATGTTAATAATAAAAGGCCATTAATCTATTCCAGTTATTTTATGGTAAATATTATCTTATATTTATTAATTTGCAGACTTATAAAGTATAAGAATAAAAACTTTAATTTTCAATTTAAATTTATGTTAGATAAAGAGAGACGAAGATAAAATAAGAGCTGTAACAAAGAAAAAGCAATTTCATTATTCTTGTTACCATATATATATCAATTAATAATAACAATTAATGTTTAAATGATGAACTACATGCGTTAGGAATGCTAAACAAGATTCGACAAACGAATCTTAGCATCTTTTTTCGATAGAAAAAAATTCTTTCCTCTAACCTTTGTTGCCAGGCCAGGCTTTCGTTTATTTACATACCATCGCTGTTGCTGAGCGGTGTCTCGTATTAAAAAACTACGTCCTACATTAGAGTATACATATTATATTTTGCGAAGTTACTGTCGCAGAAATACATTATAAAGCTAAGAATATAATACCTATATTTTTTATCAAAGATTAAAATGTATTGTAGTTTAAAAAAAATGATAAAAATATATTTAACTAACATTCCATATTTGATCTATGATCACGCGCCATAAGCAAGTATAGACAAAGAAAACAAACAATGGGAGAAGGATAGAGATATGGTAAAAATTGTGAAATCAGCGCCATCTCTAGTGTGCCGTAAATGAAACTAAAATATAGACAAGGAAAGCAAATAATAAGAAAAAGATAGAGAGAAATTAAGAATTGATCATTAATGCCATCTTTTAAAATATTTTAGAAGTATCTTTGACTATTTTGTCGAAAATATTCAAAAGATGGCGTTGATCTTTAATTCTTATTTTATCTTGCAAAGAAATATTTTTGTCATTTGAGTAATAAAGTTTTCTTATAATATCTTATCTTTATCTTTTTTCTATTTTATATTATATAATAATAATCATTATATCATATTATAATAATATATTATTATTATAATAATTATAATAATCAAATAATTAATAGTAATCAAGTAATTAATAGTAAAAGTGAATTAATAAGAAGATGAATGAATGAATAAATGAATAAATTACATAAATGAATAAATAATTAAAAAAATAAATAAATTGATAATTAAATAAGTAATTAAAATAAGTAAATAAATTAACAAATATATAAAGAAATATAAAAATAATACTATCAGTCTTAATATTTATTTCCATTTTCTTTTTATTATGTTTTCAATAATAATTGGAACATATGATAATTTTATATTAATTTCCTTTAAAATTTAGAACATTTTTCTTTTAAAAAAATTATTCTGTGGAAAATAAAATTAAAAATTGTATATTTAATTCAAAATTCTTTTTGGCTTTTTTGTTATATATTAAATTATTCTATAAATATAGCTATATTTATGCACTCATTCATGCATGTAATGAAACAATATCATAAATTCATTGTAGGATAATGTTGAACACAACTATAAAATTGCATTTATTATAATCGTTATGAGGAATGAAATTTACATGATTTAATATGTAAGAGATAAATAATTGTTATTTCATAGATTATTAAAAAAAAATATATCTAATGAAAAAGATTTTTTTATAAAGATTAATTGTATTTTATTTCAAATAATTTTTATATTTTGTCTTTTTTTATGTTTCAATCTTTTTTAATTTTATTTCTTTTTTATGTTTTAATTCTTTAGATTTACGTATTTAATTTTTATATAGATATAATTTTTATATAGATTTCGTTTTTTTTTTAAATTCTTTTAGATTTATTAAAATTTTCATATTTATATTTTTTAAATATTTGATATTTCTTAGATTTATTTATTTTTAAATTTTTTAGATTTTATTTTTATTAAATCTTTAATTTTTTTTTGTATTAAGTACATTTTCTTATTTTTTGACATTTAATTTCTATATGAGTAATTTTTGAAATAATTTTTATTTTAAAATCTTTAATATTTTTTTAATATTTTTTAATCTAGTTAATTTTTATATTAAATTAATTTTGACAATTAATTCTCATTGTATTTTTAATAAACGGACTTTCTATATTATAAAATACACAATCAAAATCTGTTATATAATATTTCGATTTTCGCGCGGTTTAAATAAATAGGAACCAACCGTTCCAGCCAATTAGAAAACTCCTAAATAATCCTGCGGTATCATTCTTCTACGGGAGTCATCGTGACAGGTTGTATCACCAGCTTGAATTTCGTGACTTCTATTACGCAGTAAGTACTTCGTTTTTTATTATTTCATTTATAAATTATTGTTAGCTTCGTTTATTTAATTCAACATTGATAATAAAACCTTGGGATAACAAAATTAATTAGTTTTTTGAGTTTCTTTTTCGATCGTTTTGTTTGATTTTTGAGGTTACCGGTAATTTGTATCGTATTAATGAGCTTTTCAAGAAAGATTTCTATTTCAACAAAGAATTATTATTTCATTTTAATATAATTTTAATTATATATATTTATTTTATAGTTTTTGTTTCGATTTTTATGTATAAATTATTGTATTCTATTGGATAATTTTCACGCACATAGTACAAGAATTTACATATTATCGATAAAATTTTTTTAAAAATTGGTAATTTTATTGTTTTTCATAAAAATATACGTATTAGATTTTTATTCATTTTTATTGATATTGAAACGAACGAACAATAAAATCAATTTTATTTCAATTAAAATATTTCAGTAATACATTTTGTAAATTCGTCTATTGCGTACTATTATATTTATATATGTGTTTCTCTCTTTCGTTTATGTTATGATTGAGGATTTCCTGTAACGTTTCTTATAACATTTCTTGTAAACATTCGTTACGACCTTTTCGAAAATTCATCCATACACATTCGATTTGTGTCGAACGTAAGCTTATCCCCTCTCTAATTCACGATTCGATAATCGAAATTATAACGAGAGTGTCATTCTTCTATCGATATTCGTAGTGTTCGGACGCGCCATTTTACTTGAGGTGTGTGATTTATTTGCTGTGAAATATTTGTTTAAATATGTTCATAGTGATTTTTTATCGTTTATATATTACCATACAATTAATATTTGTTTATTATTATAAACAATTATATTGATTCGTTTATTATCACAATCGTTTAAGTGTTAATTATTAATTTTTTCTTTATTCATTTATTTGAAGGTTAATGTTACAACTAATTTATTCATGAGTTTTTTAGAATTTAAAAAATAATTAATTTGAGCTTTATTACTTTATTTTAATACAATTAATTTCAATATCATATATTTTATTCTTTTATTTTACAGTTTTAATTTTTTTTTTATAGAAATTATTAGCTGATTATGGAGTGACATACAAAGTGGGAAAAATTTCAATATGGACGCCATTATCCAGAAGTGGTAAAGTTTTAAATTTTGTACATTCTTATTCTTTTTTTTATTGAAACAATTATTAATAATACATGTCATTGTTAAATAATATATCAATCATTGAAAATACTAAATTGAAAAGAAATAAAAAATATTAATATTAATTTTTTAATATGATATGTCTTTATTTATGATTCATAATAATTCAAATAATTTTTTTATTTTATAATTTTTTTATTTATAATTCAAATAATTAGTTGATAATTCTAAAAAAAATAACGATATTTTTGAAACAATATGTTTGACAGAAACAAGAAGAAAAATATCAAAAAAATATTTTACTTCTTTTTCTATTTTATTCCTAATTCAGTTTTAATTTCAGAGAATATTTGTGATCACGCGCAATGTGATCAGTAGAGTCAGTGTTTGTTTCGTAATAGTTTTTTTTAAACATTTTTTTAGTACATAATAGCTTTAATAAAATTTAATTATAATAATTTTTCGCGAAATTAGAATCAGTGTTTGTTCGCCGATTATCATTTACGGACGCGTCAATAGTTTATTACTTTTTTTTTTTTTTTTACAAATTTTCGTTTTCGGTATAGGGTAAAATCAGTGCTCTCAAGAACATAAGGCGATCATCCATCACGCGAAGAGGTAATTATC